GGAAGGTATTTCAGCCTAAGATTTTGAAACACTTAACAGCTCCCTTTTTCTGCTCTCTGTGGGTGCTTGAGAAGCTGCCCAGCTCTTGCTGCAGGTTATAGAAGACAGTGTTTCACAAACAGCTCCTGTCTGGTTTGGGGGAAATCAGGTGTGTCTGGAGAGAAGCCGTTCACTGCCATCTCCAGAGAGAGCTCCCTGCACTGTCCCACGGCACCAAATCCAGTCTCTGATGGCTCCATGTCAGCTGAATCTCCAGTGTGAGTAAAGCAAAATGCCCCAGCCACCCTTATCTGCAGGAATTCAATAGATCTAATTTACCGTACTGGGGAATTTGGGTGAGTGCAATAATCAGGGCGCAGAGAGGCTGGTCTCTGTTGTACCTTCAAAGCATTTGAAAACAAGCAGATCAAACATTTTGGAGAGGCTGAGGCTGTTTTTACACGATGCTGCTCTGACAGCTCCAGTATACATTGTATGGAAATAATATTTCCTTTCCCATTTTTAGCTGCTGCCCAGTCACTCCTTGGGCCCTTCCCAGCCGAACTGTGAGGGATGGATGCCCTCCACAGGCAGCTTGTGCTCTCCAGCTCCCTTCTCCCTCCCTGTTTACACCCAAAGGAAACTGCCACGTTCCCAAATGTAGGTCTTTTCATCCAAATAAGGGGGCGGGGAGGGCAATTGGAATATTGCTAAAAAATAATGGAGCTGGGAGGGCAGAAATGTAAAAGTGGTGCTAAAGCACAGCTGCTCATTGGAGGCTGGAGAGGGAAGGGAAACACAGACACCCCCAACTCGGTCTCAGAAAACACTGATGGAAGCCCTCTGCCATCTGCTGGTACCGAGCACTAACGCCAAGGCTGTGATCAGAAGTGATAGCCTTATAATATATATACATCCTTAAAGTAGACAAGCACTTGTCTAGGAGAAAGTTTATCTATTTTAGTCTGGCAAAAGATACTGCAAATCTCTGCACAGCCTCTAGGTCCTGAGCAGGCAGAGACCAAAGGGATTTGGCAGCGTAACTCCTGGCCATGGATTTGCGTGGTGGCCACTGAAGCCGTGTGAACCAAACACCTCTGTGCAAGCACGGAGATACTGGAAAAACCCAGCTCTTGCCAGGTTCTTTCCCTGGAGGAGCGTGGACACCCACACCCAGGACTGCCAGTAGCACAGCCTGGAGCAGGATGGGCCATACGATCTCAAAAGGTGCAATAGAAACTGCCATCACCCTTTTGTCACCTGCCCTCTTACTCATAGAAGCCTCACCTCTACGTCAATGCCAGCAAGGACCTTGGATGCAATTAACAAGAAACAGGTTTTAAATATTAAACCACAACGTAGACTTTGTCAGTGAAAGTCCTGCCGCACCTCAATGTATTTTTAGTTCTGGCCTTTGATCCTCAGCTGAAGGTCCTTGAAACGTCCTGGCCCCGTGGGCACTGCATTCAGAATGGCCCTGCCAGGCTGGGTCTGTCCTGCCCCACGTTGCAGATGGGTTTGGGGTCCAGAGCTCCTTCATTGCGTCCAAGAAGAATCAGGCTCAAAGACTGGATTTTTGTTTTTCCTTTTTCTGCTTGATAAAGGACTCTGACCCTGCTGGCCTGGCTGTGTTTAACCAGCTCCTGTATGGTCTCAGAAAGATTGTTTATTCCTACAGCCCACGCCACATCCCTGCTCGTAGATTATCATAAGTGCAATAGCTCTCTCAAAGGGAGGTGACAGCCAGGGCTCGGATGTCCCTTGCCCAGCAGCAGCAGTGGACGCTGTGGGGCAGGGAACAGACCCCAGAGGAAGGAGAGAAGACTTGTCCCCAAGGCCAGGGGGGTGTTAGGGAACCAGACTGGTTCCAGCCCTCACCGTTCCCCACTAGGCCGCAGAGGAGCTTTATGACAGACGGGTATTTTTCCAAACTCGGGAAACGTCTGGGCCAATAAACCAGGATTTCCTTTCAATCAGCTCAGAGGAGCCCATCAGCGCCGTCAATGTAACAGCCCGAGAACGGCCCTTGGCTCCAAAACACTGGTCTCCAAAGTGACTTGTATTTTTCTTCTCTGCATCTTATTGCGGCTCTTTTGCTTTTCCTTCCCACTGTTTATCTCTCACAACACCAAGCCTCGCCTGGGCTTCCTGTTTGGCTCTGTGGTTCGCAGTTTTCTCATTTGTTGTTATTTTTGACTTCCATCCAAGCTTTGTATGATATTAATAGCTATTTCACAGAACCCTAATCTTCCTCAAACCAGTCCTAATATTAGCAGGAGACAGAGCCAAAGAGCCACTGCCGAGGCCCGAGGGACAGGGAACTGCTGGAGAGGGGACAGCAGAGGCTACAAAGATGATGAGGGGCCTGGAGCATCTCTCTGATGAGGAGAGGCTGAGGGACTTGGGGCTTTTTAGGCTGGAGAAGAGAAGGCTGAGGGGGAATGTGATCAACGCCTGTAAATACTTAAAGCGAGGGTGTCAAGAGGATGGGGCCAGTCTTTTTCCAGTGGTGCCCAGGGACAAGAGGAAACAGGCACAAACTTGAATATAAGAAGTTCCACCTAAACATGAGGAGGAACTTCTTTACTTGGAGGGTGGCAGAGCCCTGGCAGAGGCTGCCCAAGGAGGTGGTGGGGTCTCCTTCTCTGGAGACGTTCAAAAGCCCCCCTGGACATGTTCCTGTGGGACTTGCTCTGGGTGGGACCTGCTCTGGCAGGGGGTTGGACTGGATGATCTCCGGAGGTCCCTTCCCACCCCATGTGATTTTGTGCCCTGAGCTCTGAATTCCTGCTGGGCTCTGCCAGCACTGCCCCCGGGAGCCAAAGCACCCCTGTCCCCCGGCAGGCAACCAAGAAGCAGCTCACACAAGCCACAGCACAGAGAGAGCACACTTCCACCAGCATTCAAGAATTAGAACTCATTGATAGGCTAATTAACACCTCAGTCTAATCACTTACCATTCATCCAGTTACAGCAGCACTAACTAATACCCAAATTACTCAATTTCTATTAAAGGTTTTCAGTAATAGAAAAAAAAAGAGCACAATAGACAAAATCATCTTCCCCCTTCCCCTAACGATGAATTCTCCCTCCTTCCGTGGCATCACTGCAGTGACTCATCAGCATCCTGAGGGGGAAAAACTACATTGATGCCTTTTTCTTCTTCTGGAATATGATTATAAGGTTGACGGTTTCTTCCTTCTCAGTTTAGGGTCTACTTGGAACTATTATTTTTTTTTAATGTACTTCCTATTACGCTCTGTACATGAATCTTCCCAGAGCTTCAATTCCACGTTACACCCAGGTACACTATGTATCCTGTGCTTTACCTGTATTTTTTCCTGTTACCTCTAAGACTGGTTTCTGTCACGTGGCAAATCTGTGTTATTCACCAGTAGGTAAGGGATGCTCGAGGGGCTGCTGAGGGCCCCGGGACCATTCTCTGCTCCTGGCTGCACAGTGACCCTCGGGCAGCACTACCTGCTCCTTGGGGCAGGCCATGGGGCCTAGCACAGGCACAGCCATCCTACCTCACAGATATGCAGAACTATGCAAATTCAATAGCTACAAAACAAATTAGAAACAGCCCCCTTGTTGCTGTCTCAGGTAAAAAAGCCACAGGTCAGGACGGATCCAGACAAAACCAGCCCCATGAGCCCCAGCGCCGAGATCTTGCGGAGTCACGTGGAGCCTTTGGTCTTATAACGGTGATGGCAGAGCCATATTTACTTGCCTTTTCTTCCAGCACCTCAGCTCTGTTGCTTTCTAAAAGCTTTAAAGGTGCTTTTCAGGGGGAGGATGACAACTCCAGAGGTGAGCTCAGATCTGCCTCCCAGTTCACCCAGTCTCATTTTGTGGTGAAGGCAGAAGCTTCAACACAAGGAGACCAGGATACTTTCTTTCCTGGTTTAAGCTTTTCTCTTTCAGTTTTGTTTCCCCAAGACAGATTACCTTATCGGACCCTGCCCAGAAGGAAGTACTTTCTCTATTTAAGGACCAGTCTATAAATCAGGCTGGGTGCTGCCCTGTGCTCCCACTGCAGCGTGGAAGAGGTGCACCCCGAGCCATCGCTCCGTGACGGTGACACTTACACCCACAGCAAAAATGAGGTGAGTGCACAGCACCCATTCTTGTAGCAGCTCCCAAAAAGCTCCCTGGCTTTGGGTTGGCAAGCCTTAGCACAGTGTCCGTGCTCGGAACAAGGTTGGAAAGGACCTCTGATGGTCACCTTGTCCAACCCCCTGCTCAAGCAGGGCCATCTAGAGCAGGTTTCCCTTGGCCACATCTAGACAGCTTTTGAGCATCTCCAAGGACAGAGACTCCTCAACCTCTCTGAGCAATCTCTGCCAGCACTCCATCGTTCTCACCCTTAAGAAAAGTTTCCCAATGTGCAGATGGAGCCTCGTGTCAGTTTGTGCCCACCCCTCCACCACTGGAGAAGCTTGTCTCTGTCTTCTCTGCACCCTCCTGCAAGTATTTACGTACATTTCTAAGATCCCTCTGAGTCTTCTCTAGGCTGAAGAGCCCCAGCTCTCTCAGCCTTTCCTCATATAAGAGATGCCCCAGTCCAACGTCTTCATGGCTCTTTGTTGAGCCATCTCCTGTTGCATCCTTCAGATGAAGGCACAGGCCCCATTTCCTCCCCATAGCAAAGAAGTTTTCATGGTATGGTTTGACCTGGGTCTACTCCTCCCGTTTCTTGCCTTTGCCTTAGCTAAGGAGGTATCACCCTGACTCCGGGTGCTGGTGACTTCCCTTTGGGGAACAAGCCAGGAACGAAGCCTCCCAGGTGTTTCCCTGAAGATGAATTGATAAGAACAAAGATTTATAGGTTCTTTAGTAGCTTGAGTGCCAGGGATTTGTTGAGCAAATGAGGAGAGCGAATGAGTTGAGCAAATCCTCCATCCTTCCCTCCAAAGCTTCACGTACAGCATGGAGTTTCTTTCTGCACTGTCCAGGCACCACAGGACCCCACCCCTCCACACCCTGCCTTTTCATAACCCACATTTTCCTCTTTGTAGCCCTGAACAACTGAAGGCGAATTTGGATGCTCTTCAATGCCATTTCACCTGGCATTTGGGTGTAACAGGCCATGTTGAACCAACGCATGCCCTGCAGAAGCTGGCTGTTGAAATCAGACACACAGTCCACCAAAACCAGACAGCACTGCTGGGGCTGCAGGCATACCTGTACCAGCTGAAACACCAGAGCAGAGAAGCTCTGCAAAGCCTTAGAGATGCTGAAGAGCACGAGAGACAAGATGAGCAGCGGGCATCTGCTGCTGGGTCTTTGATTATCTACGGGAATTATGCTTGGATTCACTACCTCCAGGGCTCCTACAGGGAGGCTGAGAGCTATCTGGAACGCATCCAGCAGCTCTGCCCAACTCCTTGGGACACACGGCTGGTCTCACACATCCAGGCCCAGAAAGGCTGGTCCCTCTTGGCTATCAGAACTTGTAACGGGGAACGGGCAAGAGAGTGCTTTGAGGTGGCGTTGATGCTTGAACCAGCAAACACAGATTTCCATGCTGGGCTGGGACTGGCTCTTTATTCCTCCTGGAGTTACTTCTGGTATCCTGATATTGCGAGGAAAGCCATAACCCAATTGGAAAGAACTATCCTTGAGCAGCCAAATAATTACAGAGCCAAAATATATTTAGCCAAGCTACTGGAAGAAGTGGATGAAAATAGATCAAAGGCTTTGATAGAAGAAAGTCTACAGAATAGCTCCGACCCTGAGGTCATCGGAGCTTCAGCTTATTTCTGGCTGCGACGGTCTCCAGACCGAGCAATTGAGATATTACAGCGAGCCCTGGAGCAGGATCCAGGTTACCACCTTCTCTACCAAGCCTTGGCCAAGTGCTATAGGAAACAGTGGCTTAATGCAGAGAGGGAGAGACAGAATAATATAGTGGAGGCAGCCATCCAGGACCTCAGGCAAATTCTTCAGAGACATCCAGACCTTGACCTTGTGTTTGTAAAGCTGCAATTAGCAGAGTTCTATGGCGTAAGAGACCCAGCACAGGCAGAGGAGATCTTCAGGGAGCTGCAGGAGGCAGGGGACACCCTGAGCCCCAAATGCCGTCAAGCCCTTAACCTCTACTGGGGAAAGTTCTTGCTCTACAGGAGGAATTCACGTCAAGAAGCAAAGGAAAAATTTATGGAAGGTTACAGAATTCCCGTGCTGACAGATGAGAGGAGGGAGTGTTTGCAGAGGCTGCTGAGGATGGCTGCCACACTGCACCCCAGTCGGGAGGCTGATGATATCTACAGCTTCATCAGAGACACTGACCGCAACCTGCCTGCAGAATTTCCTGGAAGTGATCTAGACTGATGGTGGGAGCCCATCTGGAGAAAGCAGAGCATCCTTTTGGCAAACCTAGAAAGCATCAAGGACTTGTGTCCATCTGTCTCTCCAACAGCAGGTCCATCACGTCATACAGATATAAGGGTTCTGTCAGCTTCTCAGACCACCCCACTGCTCCCCCATTAAATACAGGCCTACCCATAGATAATGGGCCGCCCAAAATTTACACACCTTGCCCTCAGTCCTGCTTCTCTGAAAGGGAATGAAGGTGGAGAATTTGGCTTTGCAGACATGGACCTCTGTCACGCCCTTGGAATTGCTACAGATCAGAACTAAGTGCAGGTTAGGGCAGCACGAGAAATTAACTCCCTTCAATTATCAGAACTCTATCCTTTCCAATAATGATGTGGCTTCACAAAGGTGACTTCCTCCTAATATGACTAAGCCCTGAGGGGTCTCTGCTGAGGATGAAGCACTTGCCTAGAGGACAGAGATGGTCCTGGCCTGTCCAGTGGCATTAAGTGGAAAAGCAGCAAGAGCTAACTGCGGATCAAGGACTATATAGTTGTGATTATATCTGCGTTAATGATTTGAAGCACATGTGTACTTGCCCCTGCAGGAACAGAGGAATCACTAGGAACAACGTATTCATCACTGTTTCTGGGGCCAAAGTGAGGCCTTTTCTATTCTTTGATCAATAAATATTTCAAATTCTGTTCCACATGATTTCTCCTGTGCCACAGCAGGTGTCTCTTTCCAGCCTAAAGCAACCAGAGCACAGACTACCAGAGATAGGCCCTTTCTTCTGTTTCCACCCTCCACACCCCTGGCTCACATCAGGTGCAGCCCTGGCTCTGCAGTGTCATAGAATTGCCCAGGCCAAAAGGGACCTCCAAAGGCCATCTAGTCCGACCCCCCCGCAGTCAGCAGGGACACCCCCAACTAGACCAGGTTGCCCTATCGAGCCTCTCCTTGAATATCTCCAGGGATGGGGCCTCAACCACCTCCCTGGGCAACCTGTTCCAGTGCTCCACTGCCCTCACAGTAAAGAGTCCCCTCCTAATCTCCAATCTAAATCTGTTCCCCTCCAGCTTGAAGCCATTGCCCCTCGTCCTGTCACTGCAGCCCTTTCTAAACAGGCTCTCCCCAGCCTTCCTGTAGGCCCCTTCAGGTACTGGGAGGCTGCTCTTAGGTCTCCCCGGAGCCTCCTCTTCTTCAGGCTGAACAACCCCAGCTCCCTCAGCCTGTCCTCGGAGCAGAGGTGCTCCATCCCCCTCATCATCCTCGTGGCCCTCCTCTGGACCCTCTCCATCAGGTCCATGTCCTTCTTATATTGAGGGCTCCAGCCCTGCACACAATACTCCAGGTGAGGTCTCACCAGAGCAAAGTGGCAGAATCCCCTCTCTGGACCTGCTGGCAACGCAGCTTTTGATGCAGCCCAGGATGGGATTGACCTTCTGGGCTGCAGCTGCCCACTGCCTGCTCATGTCCAGCTTCTCCTCCACCAGCACCCCCAAGTCCCTTTCCTCAGGGCTGCTTTCCAATCCCTCACCCCCCAGTTTGTATTGGTGGCGAGGATTGTTCCGGCCCAGGTGCAGAACCTTGCATTTGCTCTTGTTGAACCTCATGAGGTTCACCTGGGCCCACCTCTCCAGCCTCTCCAGGTCCTTTTGGATGACATCCCGTCCCTCTGGTGTAGCGACACCACCACACAGCTTGGTATCGTCCGCAAACTTGCTGATGGTGCCTTTAATCTCCCTGTCTATATCATTGATAAAAATGTGTCCTCTCTACTCCACATCCCCACCATGGAACTCGTGTCCTTCCTGGCAGGCAGAGGTGGGGGCACACACACACACAACCCAGCACTGCAGCCACATTTCCAACCACTGGCAGGGCCACCTGATGGGCACAGACCATCAGTAAGAAGTGGGGGTGCCTTGCCAAGGTGTCCCCAAGGCCCATCTGTCCCCACCTGGGCAGCTGTCCCCCAGCAGGTACCACGGCAAATGCCCCAGTTTCTGCTCCAACAAGGATCAGGCAAGGACCCAGTTTGGGAGAGGACATTCCAGAGAAGAGCCAAGTCGTGTGTCCAAGACACAGGATCTGGGGAAGAAAAACATGCCTTAGTGCCACCCTCATGTACATCTGGTGTGTATGAAAGCACGAGGCCAGAAACACCCAGCTGTCCTGGGGCCTTGGCCCCACTGGGGAAGAGGAGCAGCAGCCCCATCTCCTGCAGCTGGTCAGAGCCTAGGTGCAAACATGCCAGGAGAGGACTTGACCCTCCAGATCCTGCAAGCAAGGGAGAGACAACCCAGGACACCATAGAATGGTTTGAATTGGAAGGGTCTTAAAGATCGAGTTCCAACCCCCCTGCCCTGGGCAGGGACACCTCCCACCAGACCAGGTTGCTCCAAGCCCCCTCCAACCTGGCCTTGAACCCCTCCAGATATGGAGCAGCCACAGCTTCTCGGGGCAATCTGGGCCAGGCTCTCACCACCCTCAGAGTTAAGAATTTCTTCCTTATATGTAGCCTAAACCTCCCCTCTTTCAATTTAAAACCATTAGCCCTTGTCCTATTGCTACATTCCCTGATAAAGAATCTCTCCCCATCACTCCTCTAGTCCCCTTCAGGTACTACAAGGCTGTTCTAAGGTCTCCCCAGAGCCTTCTCCAGGCTGAACAACCCCAACTCTCTCAGTCCATCCTCATAGGACAGTATCTCCAGCTCTCTGATCATCTTTGTAGCTGGACCCATTCCAACAGGTCCATGTCCTTCCTTTGTTGAGGACTCCAGAGCTGGACACAGGACTCCACATTCAGCCCAGGCTATTTCACCTCCTGATAAATATTAGGGACCAGATCTGTTCTTCTCCTTCCTCCACTGGACCCATGAGGATACCCATGAACTACCCAGTGCATGATCCTGCACCCCAGCAGCAAAGGCTGCCAGGTTCGTTAGCCCATGGTGCAGGAGCTGCTCAGAGCACAGCACCACAGCATTATGGCCCCACAGCCTCCCGTGATGCCACACAGGCTCTGGTTAAACACCTCTAGCACAAGTGAGAAGCATTAGCCAGAGTACAGAATCATAGGTCACGTAGAGTGTCGTGGTTTACTTAACTGCACAGATAGGACAGTTTTCCAGAGCTCAATAAAAACAGACACTTTAAAATTTCTGTACGTGTTCCACAAATCTTTTCACACAGCACAGGGCAGGGTCACATCAGGAAAATCAGGGGACTCCCAAAAGCAAGGGTGCTATTAAACTACCCCCATTCCCCACACCTGGATGAGCAGCAACAGTAATACATTTAGATGACCCAGGAATCCTTTGGGTTTGCATCTACAGACAGTCCTCTACAAAATTTCCCCCTTGTAAACACAGCATCAGGAAACTTTAGAAAAGAGTCAGTCCCTCCAGCAGTCAATTAAACAGAGCATCTTCTGCCCATCAGAAAAGGCAACACTGCCATCCTCAGGATCACAGGACGCACAACCACAGCACGAGGCAAGAATTACAGACCTGTGTGCTCTTTGAAAAGGATTCTGACAAAGTACAATGGGGGGTGTCACTGCTGTGTGAAGACCAACCTATGGAGGTTTTATTTCAAAAAAAAGAAAAAACCACTTACGACCCTTGTATGACCGTTCCACTTCACATGGGTAGGAGACTGGATGACGACCCTTGTATGACTGTTCCACTTCACATGGGTAGGAGACTGGATGCTGCTGAAAATTGTCAGTGAGTTCCTCTAGCAGATTTTTTTTATTAACACTTTGAACAAATCCTGCTAGTTACCTCCTTCACCAATACTAAATTCAGAACATTAGATAATAAAAACACATTGCACAATAAAATCCCATTAAAAGTGTCAGCTAAGCTGAAAGATAAGAGGAAAAGATCTTATTACAGAAGCTGCCAAGGGCTGCGGAGGACTCGCGTTTACTGTACTCATGCATATTGGTGTGCAAATGCCAGGACAACACTGACTCCCAGGTCCACTTCACTTCAGCAGAGGAGAGGGAAAGAAGTTGCCCTGATGCCCAAGCTGGACCGCTGACTTGCTTTTGCTCCCAAATCTAGTTCAAGAGAAATAGAAAAATATCAGTTTGGGATTTGGATTATAGAGGCCTAAGCTCTTCCTTTCCCGGGGTCATTCACCCAAATTTTGCCCACCTCCCAAACAAAGTGCTCTTCTCCCTCCCATGAGATGATGCTCCTTAACCATTAAGCACCTTGCCCTGTTCTACAGCACTGATCAAGGGAGAGCTGACTGAGTAGTAAATCCAAACTGCTCCCAGAACTGGGCCCAAAAGTCTATTTTTAGTTCTCTTTGAACACCCAAACCACCCGCAGTCACCCCAACACCTTCAGGATAACACCCACGGGCACTCACCTGGGGGTGCTTTTGCTGAAGGTGGAGCGGACTCGCTGGGACAGGGAGCTGGACGATGGTGTCTTGAAGAGCTGCCGCTCTGGAGTGGTGAGGGGTCCCAGCATGCTCACTGTCAAGAGAGGCAGCCAAGTGAGCAACACAAGGACAGCTGAAGCTTTCATTGCCATGCAAGGAACATTAGATATTCCCTAGCATCTGTCAAAAACACTAGACAAATCTGGTGTTTCCTGGCATGCTTTGCTTCCCTCTTCCTCCATGAAGCGTGCAGGAATGGCTAGCTCCAAGAGTCTCACAAGCAGCTTATAATTGAGGGGCATTCTTTTTAATACAGCAGCTACACGGCCAAGAGAGCAGCACCCAGGGGTTACCTTTAACATCTGGTGTCTGTGGAGAGGAGTAGGCATTGGTGTTCTCAATTACATGCGCTGGGTCAATGTTTTCTTGCTCCACCACCATCAGCTGGCTCCAGTAATCCATAGGCAGCAGCAGAAGTCGCTCCACTACCTACAGACACCCATGAGCAGCTGAGGTTACACACTGGCAAACAGCTCTGACACACTGACAGCAGAACTGACAGCAGACTGCTTCAGCTCCCTCCACCAAGTCATTTGAATTCTTCAAGGGGGATACACTCACCCGGGTCAGTCCCTTCTGCCCACCTACCTTGGGTTGCCGCTTAGTATCTTGCAGGAGTGTCATAGGGTCAGGATCAGGTACCGCATGGGCAACTATTGTGGGGCCAAAGACTTTGGCCAAGTTGGCAATATCCATTTTAGTCTCTGGGCTTTGAGCTACCCTATATTTAATAGAAAAAAAAATTAAGAAAGAGAAAAACATAGCTTCTCCCCTTCACTTGTCATACAACTCCACTGTCCCCGACACACTTCAGCCTCTGAATGAGCAGGTTTTTTTTCCAGAACAAAGACTTTATGCTCCCAAGCAGTAACAAGAGCCAATTAGAGAAAGCACCAGTGGCAACCTCCCCCTTTAAGAACTCCCAGCCCATTTGAACATACCTCTGCAGGTGCATCATAAGGAAAGCCAGAGTGTCCCTGTTGGCCTGAGGAAGTTCACCAACTGCTTGGTACATAGCAGCAATGCTGTTGTCTTCATCCAAGATTTCTGAGGAAAAAACGTTTAGACCTCAGAAAGTTGTCTCAGAGGCCCAGCTGTAATGTTCCCCCCACAACAGTAGCCAGCCTGAGAAACTAGGAAGCCAGAAGCTTCATGTGCCACTGTAATAACTTTGTATCCTGCCCAAGCACTGGAACTTGTTGCTTTTTTCTGCTGTACTGTTTTGGAAGAGGAGACCTTCCCATTATGCCAGCAGTGTGCCCAGGTGGCCAAGAAAGCCAACAGCATCCTGGCCTGTATCAGGAACAGCGTGGCGAGTAGGGCCCGAGAGGTGATGGTCCCCCTGTACTCAGCACTGGTGAGGCCTCACCTTGAGTACTGTGTCCAGTTTTGGGCCCCCTACCATAAAAAAGACATTGAGGTGCTGGAGCGGGTCCAGAGAAGGGCGACAAAGATGGTGAGGGGTCTGGAGAATAAGTCTGATGAGGAGAGGCTGAGGGAGCTGGGGTTATTCAGCCTGGAGAAGAGGAGGCTGAGGGGAGACCTTATTGCTCTCTCCAACTCCCTGAAAGGAGGGTGTAGAGAGGTGGGGGTCGGTCTCTTCTCTCAAGTCACAGGCGACAGGACCAGAGGAAATGGCCTCAAGTTGCGCCAGGGGAGGTTCAGGCTGGATATTAGGAACAATTTTTTCCCTGAAAGGGTTCTCAGCCCTTGGAATGGGCTGCCCAGGGAGATGGTTGAGGCCCCATCCCTGGAGGTGTTCAAAAGACAGGTTGATGTGGTGCTGGGAGGTCTGGTTTAGTGCTGATGCTCCTTGTTTGTTGTGGGGGTGTCTATTTTTGTCAGTGAGGTTGACGGTTGGACAAGATGATCTTTAAGGTCCCTTCCAACCTAGAAGATTCTGGGATTCTGTGATTATCAACACAGCTGCAAGCACGAGGGCTCCCCAGAACACCGAGGTCTGCCGGTTCACACGACAGCTAACCCCGAGACCATCAAAGCCTAGGGAAAGAGTTGGAGAGGTCATTCAGCAACTCCTTACCTGCAGCTTCCATAAAAGTCTTGTTTAACCGGAAAGTGAGAAGGGGTTCTTTCAGGCTGCGTAGAAAGTCCTTGAGAAGGCCACAGATGGCATGGATATCATCCACTTTACTGAGCAAAGGGATATTTTTTGCTCTAAGATACTTCTCTTTCAGTTCCCTCACTGTCTTGTCACAGCCAGATATCCGGTAAAGGCCCGTCTGTTAACAGAAAGTGTTGCTTAGAGGCAGAATATCAACTGCACACACAAAGCTGACATCCTTCCACTCCCACTTCCTCTCCACACCTGAGGACTCCACACAGCCACTGTTGCTCACTCAGAGACATCTAACTGAGCAGCACTACACACACCATAAATAAGAGAAATTTGAGTTAACAATTTGCTTCCCTAACACCACAACCCATTTCATTAGCACTGTTTCACACCTCATTTCCATTTTACCTCATGCAGCCCTCGTTGCTCGATCTCATTAACACAGTGCACTATGATGGAAGGGATCATTGGAGGAGTGGAAGGGACAAAGTCCATCAGGGTCCCCTAAGAGACAGGAGTGGGGAGAAAAAAAACCAAAATGATACTCAGGGTCTTCAATACATGGAAAATACTCTTAGGAGTTCATAGTGAGAGAGAATCATAGAACTGTGTTGGTTGGAAGGCACCTTTCAGCTCACAGAGTCCATCCATCAACCCAGCACTGCCCAGATCCCCACTGACCCATGTCCCTCAGCACCACATCTGCCCGGCTTTTCAATCCCTCCAGGGATGGCAACTCCACCACTGCCCTGGGCAGCCTGTTCCAATGGCTGACAACCCTTTCAGTGAAGAATTTTTTTCCTAATATCCATCCTAAATCTCCCCTGGCACAACTTAAGGCTATTTATTCTTGTCCCATCGCCTGTTCCTTGAGAGAAAAGATCGACCCCCCCAGCTACACCCTCCTTTCAGAGAGTTATAGAGTGTAAGGTCTCCCCCCAGCCTCCTCTTTTCCAGGCTAAGATCTCCAGGTCTAGCCTTAAAAAACAAACGTTATTTCTTCTTCATCAGCCCAGAGAAGAGCAGCACTACATCCATCAGCTCAATGCTGCAGGATTGCCTACTCAGAGCTGCCACATTCACCACTCAACACCCTCCTAACATCACATCCCTACCGCCCACCCCCCTGGTTATTGAAGGAGTGGAAGGGGCAGAGTCCAACATGGTTAACAAGCTCATTTGTGTTTTATTGTGCAGCTCTAAGCAGTGGGAGCTCTTCAGGAAAAGGCACACTTGTTGGAGCCTAAGCACGTTCCAACCCCAACCAAAGATCAGCCCGTGTGTGTCAGAGCTGTGCTGCCCCGAGCTCACCCTCCACATACCTCCCCAATTTTGACAGGAGTGCCCGCCAGGGTGGGGATGCAGGGAAGGGGACAGCGCTCCCGACACTCCGGATGAGTGACCACACGGCAGTCTCTGCACCTCAGAGAGATTTTTCCAAATTTTACTCTCTTTCCACATGGAACGCATGATTCTGGCTTGATAACCTAATGATTCAAAGCATAGAGATGGGAAGAGATTAGTGACTGCAGTAACTCCAGAGGACTGAAATTAGCTAAGCCTACGGGATAACATATTCCCTGATCCACGCAGGTAACCACTGCAGTCAATATTGACTTGAAACATAATGGCTGGTGGCCTCTTTCCAAGAGCTTGATCTTGCACACATTTAAAATAATGGAAGAAGATGCTTTTTCTAATTCTCCCTGCCCGCAGACCTACCGTCTTTGAAACAAAATCATGCAGTCTCACTCCCCCATTGCTCTGCGGGGTGCTAGAGCCATCAGTCTCCGATTTGGATTCTGGCTGCTTATTGCCTAGGCTGGACTCGCTGCTCCAGGGCTGCAAAGGACCTGGAAGAGAGAAGAGGAGCGTTGACTGAATGGAATCACCCCCTCCATAACCTTTGCTTCAAAGCAAGTGCGTTATAAACCTCTGGCAGTTGCCCAAGTCCTGGAGGGACTGTAACCTCCAGCCTATGAAGTAGTTCCTTCAGGACTGGGACAAACAGAGAGGTGACACCTACCACTGTTTCTCCGTCTCTTCAGACCGTAAGGCACGGTCTGGATAGTAGAGATGGCTTCAATTGGGCCACCATCACTGGGGACCATGACAGTTGTCTTTGCTACTATGGATTCATTCCCCTGTAAATAGAAACATGCAGTTAGTGACAGCAATACTGACAGGACATAGAATTTTCTCATTTTTGGCCCTAGAAACAGATACACAATATGAACAACAAAGAACAACTACTTTAAACACACACAAACACAGCTGGGACCACCATACCTGGTCCGCTGTGGAGCCAATTGATCTGGTTTTCTTCTGACCTGGGGGGCCTTCAATGAACTGCCTGGAAGACCGCTGAAAAAATACAGTATGTTTTTGTCTATGAGGCAGTTAACACTGTTAACTTAGTGTTACACTAGTTCAGTACAACTAGAAGGACTGAACAACTCTCTGCACACACCACAGATCCATTAACTTCTGCTCTTCATGGCAACCTTGAAGCTGACATGAAGTATCACGAGACCTCTATATGCTGCTCTTTCAAATAATTTTTCTAGCCAGCTTTATAATCCAGTTCAGAAAACAGAAAGAAGGAAGAAAAAGAACGACCAAACCCACACACATAAAAAGTAGAGCAACTAAGCAAGTCCCAGACTCTTTCCAACTGGGCTAGTTATGATTTCAGGCTGTCCTTTCCCACCTGTGCCTACTGCATACTAACAGCAGCCCAGAACAAGCACAAGCTCCTTTACAGAATAGAAAAATATTAACTTCCTACATGTTTTCCCCCTAATCTGGTAGCTGTTAATCATCTCCAAGTGCTTTCTTGCAAACTCTAGGCCATAACAGAACAAGGTATGTGGAACTCCAGTCATTTTCAGTAGACAAACAACGACATCAGAATTAACTTTTAATCTAAATCCACACAGCAGAGTTGAATTCTAGTAGCAGCACATCCATCTGAAGTTTGATTGTGATTAGTAGCTCAGACATCATTATAGGTGGCTGTGAGATGACAGATGGTGACACTGTGTCAGCTAAGGCTAACAATAGAATCTATTTGAAGAGGAAGAATTGAACATACCCGCTTCTCTCTCTTTTTCAGTCTGACAGTTTTCACCACAGAGGAATCCCAGTCCTGTGGGAAATACACAGCTCCAGTTAGCTCAGTGTAAATACCACACAGCCTCTGGCCAGGACTTTCATTAAGTTTTAGCCAATAGCACACCAGAGAAATGCAAATCAGCTCTACCAGTTTAATACCCCAGTAATCTAAACACAAGGCGTCTCTAGAGACTACTGCACACCTCTAAGGTTTTACAGTGGAGGACAATTTTGGAACTTGGAGTTACATTACCAGTGACTCATCAGTCTTGTCAAAGCTGATGTCTGACAGAATCGAGGCAGATTCATCTATTGTAGACAGCCTAAAAAATCAAAAATTAGAAGAGACATGTATCGTTTTGGCTTTCAGTCAGTCCTGGTTCCAGAACAATCTTACTGACTCAGAGGAGCTGTACTTCAAACTGGGATAAAAAGGAAGATTCTGTTGATATGGTTGCAGTACATATCACAGAGGTACACAGCTGGATTGCTGTTTGAGACTGATGTTGCTCAGACAAACACTGCCCACCTTTTGTTGTCTGAACCCCCGAGAGAAGCCTGTGGCCTGTTAAGAAAGGCCAGGGCAGACTTCTGTTCTTCACTCAGCTGAATGCTCCCAGAGGCATCACACATGAGCAGCTCCCGAATCAGTTGCAATTGCCGCTCCTGTAAAGGTAGATAATATCAGCAGCTGTCACAGGATAAGCCATGTTTAATTACTGGATGAACCAATCCGAGGCGTTTGAGATACCACACAGATAGGCTCTCAGAACTTGTGTCAATTGACTGCTAATGGCTGCAGAGCCCGTGCTCCGACAGGTAATGGCAGCTCAGCTCCAAACAGCAGCCTTTTTCCAGACCAGAGCAGTTCGGCTACTACCAGGAGCCAAGCCAATTTGTTGTTGTTGGGGTTTTTTTTCCTTCCCAAGAAAGACGTTATCGGTAGTGCCAGTCCTTATTTTCCATAGATCAATGCAGTTTAATCACCTTGTCTCCACACTCTAAAGAGCCAACTGGTAACAAAGGAATTACTCACCAGCTTTTCGCAGTCTGTTTCAGCTTTTTGCCTTCGTTTGATCTCCACATCCACTTGATTGCGAGCGTGTTTCAGCTTCACATCCAGAGCACTACGTTCAGCTTCAGTTTTCATGAGAAGATCTTTGTACCTGCCAAGCTCATGCTCCGTTTTCTGCATTTTTCTCCGATACTCTTCAAAGTTCTTTGCTAACTGAATAAACTCTGGAGAGAAGATACATATATCTTTAGCTACACAGGCAAGCAGAGGGGATGCAGCAGCCCTCCTTCACTGACAGTAGATCTCTATTAATATAACCTGCTCTTAACTAAGGAGTAGAGAAGCCAGCCTTTCAGCAAACCCACCTACATTCTAGATGTTCATGAGATCTCGCAGTTTTTCAACCCACCACCTTTGTGTGATTATTAACCACAACAGTTAGAACAGGAGACCCTGCACAGATGAAGTCCACTTGCTACAAGCAGAATGTGGCCCTGCCTAGAAGTTCAACCTGTGACTTCGTATTTCTTGACAATGAAAAGAAACTCTTGAATCTGACTGCCTGCAGCAGTCTTATTACCCCTAGCATCCATCACCATCAGATTCTTCCATAACAGCTAATAATCTCTGTTTGCATGTTTATATTCTTACAGCAAACACAGCACAACCCACTTCAGAAACAGAACTCACTGCATTCATTTCCTTCACTTAAAGCTTCAGCCTGGCGCGTAAGTTGATCATACAGATTCCGCAAGTTCAGCATCGCAGTCTCCATTTTCCTGCCAAGAAACCAGAGCTAAATAAACAGCCCAGCCCTTTCCTCCCACCTCCAAAAAGAGAACATGTTACCAGCCCAAAGAAGAGAGAAACAGCTTCAGAATTAATGGGCTTTAGGTTTTTTTTAAGGCAAGTTTTAGAAGCTGCATAAAGAAAAAAACATTAAGAGTTATGTTTTATGAAGATTTATGCATCCAAATTCTTTCCTAGGGAATGAAGATCCTCAGCCCTCCACAGCTTGCAGACAGCAGGCCTACAGAGAGTGGCAATGCAGCTCCCCACCTTATTGGTCCCAGTATTCTCCAGGACACTACAGAGGCTCAGAGCCCAAGGCAAGTTGAGGAATCCCAAATCATTTTCCTTCTGGAAGGCTGCAGAGCACAGCTCATGCCCTGTCTACAAATAACTTGGTACAATATAGGCCACTAAAAATCTGCAAGTTTTCAAAGCTTCATAAGATAAAAATAGGAGCAACATTCTGGGGAATTTTAATTCAGTTTTAAATTTAGCTGCATTTTAAGCTAGAGCTCCTACTGCAAATAGCTGTTAAAATTCAGTCAGTCAGCACATTTTCCACAAGCAGTAGCAACAATGACATAAACAGAAGCAATGAAGAGGAAAGTCTCCAGCTCAGCAACACAGAAATTACCTCACTAATGCGAGAGGTTGCTGGAACACACAGGGCAGCCTTGACTAATAAATCAGCACTAGAAGCAGGTGCAAACGTAGTTGGGAGAGGTGCCAGGAGGGAGCACAGCACAGCAGAGCAGTTAAGAGCTCGGGACTTCACCCTGGAAAGCTTTCAGATACTCTGCTCACAGTTACTGACTCTACAGAAACACGTTTCCCAGGACTTTCTAATATTATGTAGACTACAAATTGAGGAAAAGCTCCCTGCTAAAAGGGCCTCCTCCATTCCTTATAGGCTGCTTAACTCACAGCAAGGGGCACTTCTACAGTTCCGTGCCTTAATTACCAGCCCCAGGATTATCAGCCCCACACTCAACCCGACGGCAGAGGCCGGGGAGGGCGAAGGAACGAGGCAGCGAGGGAAAAGGCCTCTGAGGAAACCGGCGCCGGAGCCGCCCAGGCCCAGGACGGCAGCTCCCCTCGGCCGGTGAGGGGAGCCCCGACCCCTAGGCGAGGTCCGCTACGGGGGACCCGACCCCTAGGCCAGGCTCGGTACCGGGGCCCCGCCGCTGCCCCTCAGCCGCCCTCCCGCTCCCGCGCACTCACCTCAGCCGCCGGCCCGGCCCGAGCTCCCGCTCCAACCGCCCAGCCCAACCGCCCCGCACTTCGGTTTGAATCCCCGCTGCCAGCCAATCCCAGCCCGCTCCCCGCTTCCCGGCCTCTGATTGGCTCTCTTCACTGCGACTTCTGGAGCCGAGCCGGCGCCATGTCTGCTGAGGGCGTGGCCTCTCTGCTCCGCACCCCGGCGCGAGGGCGGAAGGGGGCCTGAACGGCCGCGCGCTGAAGCCGGCCGGGCGCCATCTTTACTGTTGGTTGCTGGCGCCGGCGCGCGTTGCTTAGCAACAGAGCAGGCCGGGGACGCCGGCAGGGCCTAGGGCCCGCGGAACCGAGGGCTGCTGCTGCTCCTCTGAGGGCCCGAGCGCGGCCTTTGGCACCAGAGGGGCTGTTCTGGGGAGAAAAAAACGGTCCTAGGGCTGAGAACCAGTTGTGATTTTAAGCAATGCCATTAGTACACGTCACGGGTGGGCCTGAGTCACCCACACGCTGGTTCTGCAGCGCGCCATGAGGCCTGCGCCAGGTGCTGGATGCATCACGTATCTGGTTCAGAGCATTGGTACCCACTGGGAGGCCGTTTATTACGTGTTCTTGCTTGAGAAATGATGCCTCGACTGATTTTTGTCTTTGAAACACTGATTTGAGTGTTTCCACCGATCCATCCCACCTGCCGAAAGGCAAAACCCCATTTCAAGCCACGTACAAGTCTCCCATTCGCAGACGTTTAATGTGCTACACGATAAAACACAAGCCAAACCCCAACAATTACAGGAAGCAAAATCACATAATCATAAAATAGCAATGCGTTTTAATCTTTTAAATCTGAAACAAAACAGCGGGTAATTGAAGAATGGATATTAGCAATTAGAAAGCGGAACTAAATGCTTAAAATTGCTAAGTGGGAAAGGGAGTTCATAAAGCAGATTGCTGTCTAACATCCAGCTGCTTTTTCAGAACAGCTTTATTTAGGTTATATAGTCTGTTTTAACTTAATTAATAATAATTAATTCATAATAGATTGTAAAAAGCCTCAAGGTCCTCCGAAAAGTAAACACTAATGAAGCTTCCTTGAGGAAGATAGTCCAAATTATCTACATTTTATAGGGGAACTGAGGCCCAGAAGAGACATGACTCATCATCCAAGTGAACGGTGAAGCAAAAGAAAGGCACTGACCTTGATATTTGACCTCATAGCACAGAAAATTACCCAAAACCCCAATTTGCCCCAGTCTGGAAAGCAAGTGGGAAGCTGGTAGTTGCACCTGGCCCTGCCGAGCGCCTCCTGTGCATGCACAGCCCACCCTGGCACTTCTTGCACACCCATTTCTGAGGAGGTTCAGCTGTTTTGGTGTCAGCCCCGGGGCCTCTTGCAGCTCCTGCCTGTAATTAAATCTTCACAGCTAACATGTCTCTATTGGCAGATCATATTTATAGGCAGGCGAGTTGTTTTAGTGTCACTCTTAAGAGTTAAGGAGGCTTTTGCTCATAAGGAAATTCTCTTTTAAATTGTCATCCGCCATCTCGTGCCAATAAAAAGGCACATTATTTTAGATTATTGCCCCTGTGGTGCTTGTAGTGAGTTACTGCGTTAGGTACTGGGTTTCAGTGTTACGCAAATTAAATTTCTTCCATATGTGTTCAGACGTCGTGCTTTCAAATCCTCCTCCGAAACATGGTGGGTGGGAGCTCCAAGGGCATCAGGGACTGAGTATCCCAAAAAAGCTTCTCAGAAACCCCCTTCCTTGCTGATGTGCCCTGGACATGGCAAACAGGCCATGCCCTATGGCACACGCTGCTTGCTTGGTCCCAACCCCAGTCTCTAAAAGCTTTGTAGAGGTTTTTCTTCCTCCTTCCTGACTGATGCATGATGAGAAGAGAGGTCAGAAGCACCTTTCATATATTGCTTTACTTCAAGGGAGAAGAAAAGGCATGAAGATTGAGGGCCTTTTCAGGAGCTGCCTTATTGCAAAGTAATTATATTCTCTTTTGTTTGTGTCGGGGAGGGGAGGGAGAAGCTTTGAAATGTCTCATCTGGGAAACCGTTAATAGAATTTATGCTAATTTGATGATTCCGGCGATTACTGGCGGAAGCACTTCACATTTTCAGGCAGCAGAAATTCTCCTCCAGTTCCTCCTGCAGTCTCGATCCGTTTGGTCTTTAGCCTGTTCGCCTCCTCCAGCCACCAGAGACTCCCTCACTGGGCAGCACTTGCGGACCCCACGATGTGACCAGGATTTTTGCTTAAGACGATGCCAATGGGTTTGCTGGTGACCTCATGCCTCAATATTTTGGGGAAGAACGCAAAGAAATCTGCCCCGGCACCTCGCTGTGCTAGCAAGCAGCCCTGCAGTAACAAACCTTTCCCTCCCAGCCTCATCCTCTGGTGGAGCTTCACAAACACAAATCTGTCTGCCCGGCTCCTGCCTAATTAACTCCAGAATTGCAAACCCATTTGTGTAGCTTTGTGCTCAGGGGAAACCTTTATTAAGTTCCTTTTAATCCAAAACCAGTTAGAAAATGATGGTCTTCATCAACAGTCATTAAAAAAAAAAAAAAAGGGCGGGGGGAAAGGAAGCGGAACTAGAAACTTTAAGATGAGAGGGGGGAGGAAAGCAGAAAAAAAACCATCTTAGGTGCAATTCTCTTGATGCATTAATGCAGCACAGGTTTCAAAAAGGAATGATTCAGTAGCGTGAGGAAAATACCCGGCAGCCTGAGCAGGGAGGGCAGCCTGGGTTTAGCCGGAGGAAACTGGATTTTTTGGGGGAATTAATTTCTAATTTCTCGCGCCTGGCCTGAGCCGCAGGCCGGCAGATGGCATCACGCTCATGCCGTTGGGTGGGAGCTGCGGGGTCTCAGCCATCGCTCATCTGTGCAAAATATTGCTGGGCGCATCGCCCGTGCGGGCTGCCAGGAGGGTGCCGAAGGAGCCACGGTTACGCCGTCGGCCTGAAGGAGAAACCAGGTTTATCTGTGATCTCCTGCCTGCATGAACCCAGGATAATTCCTCCCCACCGCGACTGGCGTCGGGGTAAGGAGCACTTGGATGGGATCAGCCAAGCCTGTCTGCGACGACACGCGGTCCATCCTCTCTGCTCCTCGTAGCAAAACAGTGTATTAATGTCAGCAGAGAAGCCACAGCCTTACCCTGAACTCGTTAAAAAACAATGGGAGTCTCTATTGCCTTCATCTGGCTTTTAATGAATGACCTCTTGTTGCTGGGAGCTGCGAGCAGTGACAAAGGACCTTTGTGGGCTGATATTTATGATTTCATTTAAGCCAGGGAGTAAGCTAAGAGTGGAAAATATGAGCTGAGCTGATGTTTCCTGCTTTAAACTCAGAGGATCTTCATCTCGTTTTTGTGATAATACAGTTGTCATCTCTTAAATATTTGAGCAACTTGCAGCCGTGAACATTCCCACGCTGGAAGGACACGCGGGTCACACTCGGTGCCAGGGCAGGGAATGACTCCTGCTCTCCCAAGCCCCACACATCCCTCTGGGCTCTAGGGTGGGGGAAAGGTTTTGCATTTTCCTAGAGCCCCCAAAAAATTGCATGCACATCAGGCACACCGAGCCCTGCTGTGAGAGCCCACGACCTGCTTGTGGGGGGCCGGCGTCCAGCCCCGGGCTCAGCGCAGCCGCCGGGTCCGAACACCCCTCCCCGCACCCCAGCAACTTGCCAACACTGATAAATTTTGTGCCTTTTCCTTCGGCAGGCCTCAGCGGTGGATTAAGCAGCTGGGAGTCTGGAGTGAGAGCGCGTCCCCTCTCCTTTGCCATGCAAACAGAGAAAATTAATCTTCCAGCTTCCTCTGATATTTGGGCTGAATTACAAGCTGGGAGCGGAGATAAAGCGCGGGCGAAAGGAAGGTACAGGTAGAGCGGAGAGCCGGGCTGGCTGGCACAGGCCTTTGTCCGTGCAGATAAGGGCTCTCCTCCCTGTGTCATGCATAATTCACCAGCAGCACTGCCTCCCTCCGTCCCGGTCATCCCTCTTGCTGCTTTCACTGCTCTGCTCTTGGAGGAACGGGAAGCCTTGCGTCCAAGCCAGCCCGTGCATGTTGGCCGCGTGTGTGGGTGCAGAAACACACTCATCCGTGGGGAGCAAGCATGCATGTGTGCCCACAGACACAGCAGCAACGGGCAAATCTCAGCTGCAGCATTGCTCTCATTGCAGGTTTGCCCAGGGACGAGGTAAGGGGACGTTGTCCTGTCTACTCTGAGGCTGATGGAGCTGGGATACAACACTGCCACAGCCTGTGCCGGGACAGGACACCGGTGTCCTGCTCGCAGCCCCGCAATACCCGACACCAATCCAGCTCACCCAAACCTGCACATCAGCTCCTGCAAGGAGTGATGATTTCGTATGCCCATCACATTTCAGCTCCGCTAACCACGCTAGCTCCCTAAATCCCTCTGATGTTATAGCTGGATAGAGGTTACATCCTCTGGGATACCAACCCCGGCATTAACAGACACCAAGTGCATTTTATTTGGTCCATCATCCGGTGGCTTCTCTGTACCATTCTTGACAGAACTGTGCCACACAGAGCGGAAAAGCCATGGAGGTTTTCCATAGCCGCCGAGAGTTTCTTTCCCAGAACAAAGCAGAAATAACCCTGGTCACCCCCAGCCAAACAGTGAGCATAGACACCTGCTTAATTATTTTTGCTTTGTAAATGAAAGCAGTGCCATGAGTTTAATAACCACTGCTTGGGAGTAATTGGGGCGATTATTGTATGGCCCAGGGGGAAAATTGCAGCTTGTTATCTCCAGGGAGTAGCATTAGGATCCAGCA